GATATAGTTTCGCTTCGTCTTTGTCTTCGTCCTGATTCCGCCTCACCACGGGGGTCCCCCGATGGCTTAATGCGATGTGGCAGCAGCGGCCTGGACGTTTGGGTTTGCCCCCCCCCCAAACCCCCCCCACCCCCGCCACCTCCGCGCACCCCCGGACAGCCGACGCCCTGGTTTCTTCGCAGGGCTCCCCGGTCTGGACCCCTTCCCAGGGACCGCCGCTCGAGTCCCGGGTCGAGTTCCGACGGTCCCCGGGCCCGCCGGGGGGTCCCAAGAGGCCGACGGCTGCCAAAAGGGAGGAGGAGGAGGAGGAGGAGGAGGAGGAGGAGGAGGAGGAGGAGGAGGAGGAGGAGGAGGAGGAGGAGGAGGAGGAGGAGCTGCCAAAAGCACCTTCGTCGCGCTGCCTCCACGGCGAGAGGGTGTCGGGTGCCAGGAGCTCGGCCCGAAGGCCGCGCACCGGAGGGTCACCACCGCCTCGGGGCCACTCCTTCGGACAGCAGGTCACGGAGGCTTCCGCTCGTCGTGTGTGGCGGGCATGTCGGCGCAGACCGACCACTAGCGCCCAGCAGCGCTCAGTAGCGCCCCATGATAGTGCCCAAGGGCGGCCACATGGGCGCCGCGCAGTGCCCACATGGCGCCCAGTGGCGTCCGCCTCTGCGCGCCGCTGGAAGGAGCGCTGTGTGACGACCAGAAGTGTCCCGAGTTGCTTTCTAAACCCTTTGCGTGGCGGCCCCGCGAAGGACGTCTCGCTCCTCGAGGTGCTCTGCGAGGCGGCGCCTTCGGGGGGCGATCGAGGATCGATGCCTCGACGACCGCGACGCTCGATGCCTCGAGGACCACGGCCTCGAGGCTCGCGATGTTCGAGGGTTGAAGATCGAGGATCGCAAGGTTCGAGGATCAAAGGTCGAGGCTTGAGGTTCGAGGGTCGAGGGTCGAAGATCGAAGATCGAGGAGCGGAGGTTGAGGTTCGAGGTTCGAGGATCGGCGATCGAGGATCGAGGACCGAGGCCTCGAGGATCGCGAAGATCGAGGATCGCATACTGAGGCTCGAGGACGCATCAAGGTTCGAGGACCGAGGTGCGAGGCTCTTGGCTTTGGGTCCAAAGGTCGAGGCTCGAGGTTGGAGGTCTAGGTCTGAGGATCGAGGTTCGAGGCTTGAGGCTCGAGCCTGTAGGCTGGAAGGTGTGGGGCGCGTCTGGGCACTCCCTTGGAGCCCTCTAGAGGCCTCTGGAGCCCTCGCCTCCGCGAAGCCTCTGGGCACGGCCGAGGTTCCGAGACACCGGGGAGTCCGTGTGTTTTCGGGGTGCGCTGAGTTGCGCGGGACGTTCCAGGAAGCCAGAGCAGACTTCCGCCGCGTCGCCCCTCCGAGCGCCGCCAGCGTCGAGCACTTGTGCTAGCGCGCGTGTCCTGATGGCCTCCGACGTCTGGCGTGAGGGGACCTTCCTCCCCCCCTCCGCCTCCTCCTCCTCCTCCTCCTCCTCCTCCTCCTCACCCTGATCATGGCCACCTGGTACCCTGATAGTCCTCCCCCTCCTCCTCCTGACCTCGACCTTCGTTGGAGGCGACTCCTTGCCATTGTTGCCCGTGCCCCCTCTTCCCGAGCCTGGCCACATGTGAAGTCCCTCGCTGGCGCGTGGATAACGAGCGGCAGAGTGACGATTCTTGTCCAAGCGAAATGCAAATCAGGCTGCAATTGCCCTGACGACATTGCACATTACATATTGTGTCCACGTTTGTGGGCCGCGGCTGCGCTCCAACCATCATTCCTCCCCCCTGTGTGTCCCTGGGTCCGCTTAGGTCTGGGGGGTGAGTCTGATTATGATGTGTTGGAAAGCGGACGACAGCGAGCCCATCAAACTCTTGTGCTCGCTTTCACAATCTACCACAAGCTGAGGCCCCTCCTCTTGCCTCTCGCCCCCGCCACTGACGCACAGGTCAAACAGGCGCGTGCGGCCGCATTGGCATCCTTATCGTTGTAAGCACGTAAAGTCAGTCATGAGGTACGTGCGCTCCTCCTCATCCTAATCCTCCTCCTCCCTCCTCCTCCTCCTCCTCCTCCTCCTCCTCCTCCTTCCTCCTCCTACTCCTCTTCCTACTCCTCCTCCTCCTCCTCCTCATCCTCTCCCCTTTCTCTCCTCCCCCTCGTTCTCCTCCTCCTCCTCCTCCTCTCCTCTCCTCCTCCTCCTCCTCCTCCCTCCACCTCCCCCTCCTCCTCATTCCCCCTTTCTCCCCTTCCCTTCTCCTCCCCCCCCTCTCCCCCTGACTCCTTGCTCTCCTCCCCCTCGGCCTCCTCCTCCCCCTCCTCCTCCCCCACCTCCTCCTCCCCCTCCTCCTCCCCTCCTCCTCTTCCTCCTCCTCCTTCTCTTCCTCCTCTTCCTTCTCCCCCGTTTCCCTCCTCCCATTCGTCCTCCATTCCTTCCCCTTATAGATCATTCCATCCTGTCGCACCCCGAGGCCAGTTTTTAGGGCGGGCCAGGCGTTTCGCCTGGGACTTCCTCACCACTCATGACTCAGAAGTTATAAAAGTGGCAGCAGCTTCACAGACGGAGGGCGGGTCGTTTTCAAAATGTGGCTCTCGCTTTGGCGCCGCGCACATTCATTTTGACAATTTGCAAGAGCTTCACGGATGGAGGGCGGGTCGTGTTCAAAATGTGGTTCTCGCCTTAGCGCCGTGCGCATTCGTTTTAAACATTTGCCAGCGCTTCACGGGTTGAGGGCGGGTGGTTTTCAAAATGTGGCTCTCGCCCTAGCCCCGCGCAATTTTTGTTAAACAACATTGCAAGAGCTTCTCGGATTGAGGGCGGCTCCTTTTCAACATGTGGTTCTCACCTTAGCGCCGCGAACATTCGTTTTGAACATTTGCAATAGTTTCACGGCTTCCCATGATCAGCGTACCAGAAATGGTGTTTTGAAAGGATTCCGGATTCTGCGGGCGCAACAGGTATGTTGTTTCGCTGCGTTGAAGTCCCAAACAACGGCATTATGGTACGGTTCTGGATCGTCGAGACGCAGCAGTCAGGTTGATGCGTGGCGTCGAAAACTCGACAACAATGTTGTTGCACGCTTCAGGATCTTCAAAGTGTTGTCTTCCAACGAGACAGTTCCCTCAATGGAAATGAACCATTGTAGGGGCCTATGAAGAGGGAGCTTGGAAGGAGGGTTAATTCCAAAATCGTTGATGGATGGCTCTTGGGTTTCTACTGGTCCTCCTCCTCCACCTCCTCCTCCTCCTCCTCGTCCTCCTCCTCCCCCCTTTCTCTCCTCCCCCTCCTCCTCCTCGTCCTCCTCCTTCCTCCTCCTCCTCCTCTTCCTCATTCCCCCCTTCTCCCCCTCCCCCTTCTCATCCTCCCCCCCTCTCCCCCTTCCCCCTTGCCCTCCTCGCTGTTGTCGTACTGCCCATCGCGGCCACTCTCATCCAGGGCCACTTTATGCGCGCAGCCGAGACTGCTCGCCCGAAAGCAGCACCGCGTGGTGCCCCCACGCCTCCCTGACGCCCATGTGCCGAGCAACAAGGCACACACGCAAACACTCACATCTTCCTCCAGGTGCGAGGTGACGACACCGTCGCGATGCGCTACGACTGGTCACGCTTATGCGGATTTCCGCATGTCGTAGCAGATGGGTGGGCTGGATGGTGGCAGTCGCTTGTAAGAATCAGCGCGAGGACGCGGATGCACGTGGAACGTGTCATTGCGGTCACGTAACATACGCGCACGATATGTGTGTGTGTGTGTCGCCCCGCTCCAGACCCCTGGGGGCCCTCGCGGATCGATTCTGCGGCGCGAGGGCGGGGCCGAGAGCTCCGAGTTCCTTTTGCCGCGTCGGACGTCGGGGAAGGAGGGGAAGGAGAAGGGAGGAGGCATATGTGGGGAGAGGGAACCTGCAGCGTTGGACGGTGTTCCAGGGGAGAGCGGAGGGGGGAAGGTACATTTCGGCGGAAGACGGGGAGAGGGGGGTGGCGGGGGGAGGAGGAGCAGCAGGAGGTTAATAGATGGGGGAGGAGGAGGCGAGCTTCAGAGAGGGTGGAATGGGATGAGCAGGATAGGAAAGTGAAGTAGAAAGGGGATCTTCCGAAGTAGCTTTACATATACAGAAGAGCAACTTCCTTTTCGTGAGACCTGGCATGATTCGAAAGACAGAAAGGAAAAGGGGAAAAGGGATGAGCAGAAAGAGGAGAGGGGCAGGGTGGGGGAGGGTAAGGAAGGGGGGAAAGAAGGTGAGGAGAAATATCGAGGGGAGGGGGACGGGGGGGCAAGGGAGTGCATGACCAAACGATGAGTGCAACCACTGGAGGCCGAGCGCCGCCTGAAAGGAGCACGGCCATGCTCCTCGGGCTCGAGGCAAGGCAATGATCTGAGACCACATCGTTCTCTCCGTCGGCTGCGATGTGTCTCAGCACGCAAGGGAGAGTGCACATCGGGCGCTGGCCGACATCTCGATCTTTCTGCCGTGGTCGGCGCTCTGGAGGACCGCGCCGACATGGGGCAGATCCCGGGCCACGGAGGGACCCCACACCCTCGCGCTCCCCGACCACGCTGCTGCGAACAGCGCCGGCGTCGAGGAATTGTGCCCGCGCGCACATGATTCAACACCAGTTCGGCCAGTGGGCAGTGATCCGGCTGCACGTGAGAGTGACATTTGGCCAGAGTGGCCATCGGTGCGGGCCCAGTGGGGCTCCCGACCGCGGAATGCGGTGCGATGGCAGCGGCCTGCGCGCGCGGTGGTGTTCCCACATGGCCCTCTGTTGGCCGCGCACCGAGGGTCTCTCTGGCCTATGGTCACCCTTGCGTGTAGCCGAATGGTGCGAGGAGGTGACGAGAGGGGAGGTGGAGGCGGAGGGGTGTGCAGAAGGCGCAGCTAACAAGACGACAGCCTACCAGCTGGCGCCCCACGGAGATATCTTGTTCCCTGATGGGCTTGGGGGCCTGCAGAAGCCTTGGGGGCACTTTTCTAGGAAACCCAGGGATTGTCGACAAGCGTGCCGCGAGAACTCTTACAGCGGGAGTCCTGATCGTATGTATCTAAGATCAGGAAGGGCTCTCTTGGACCGGGAGCTGTGCAGCCCGCACCGAGAGTAGGAGGGTGCCCTCCCAAGCAGCAGGCGCCCCGCCCCTTCCCCCACGAGAGCCCCGGAGCTGCGAGCCAACTTCGGCTCGAGAGGGGAGCGCGCCTCTCCTGGACCACACACTTGCCTTTACGTGCTCCCCTTCCCGTCCCTCCATATCCTTGATCCGCCAGGGGCACCGCCGAGAACATCCGATACAATAGAGTCCATGATTGGCCGATGCTGCGCCCTCCTGCTCGTGCCAGGCCTCCTCCCTGGGCGGGCGGTCCGCGTCCAGATGGGCGGGCCATCCCAGGCGGCGCCCTCCACTGTCGCTGGCACGCGTATGCTGGACGAGGCCGAGATGGGAGGGCTACGACCGCTGTTCGTCGATGCATTCTACGATCACGCGAAGCCGGTGGCGCACGTGATCCTGAACATGAAGTCGTTCGTGGAGCCGACCGTGGCCGCGGCTCGGGAGTGGGGGCCCGGCACGCGTTGGGCCTGCCAGTGGGCAGACCCCGGCAGCTCTCGGCTGAGCAGGAGTACGGCCTTCGTGGCGGGGTACACAAACGCGGATGCCCTGACGGGAGCCGTGTCCAGGGCTGCTCACCCAGTGAATGCCAGCGCGGAGGCCTCCTTCACGGACCAGAACCACCATTGGGCCCTGGTCATCTCCTGCCCCACTTCCTCGTTATTGGCCAACTCGTCGACCGCGGTTCTCAATCTGCTCGGGCAGCGTGATGAACAAGTGGTGTACAGTCGTGCTGCCATTCCTGTGAGTAGATCGCGGTATGTACAATCTGGTGTTGATTTCGCTTTGTGCACAATGGTCCAACGAGGAAGTCTCACAGGAGCAGAATATTTACAGCCATGGGCACAGTACAATTTGGCACTCGGGTTCTCTCAATTGCTTGTTTATGTCGAGGAGGCGGACTCCGCTTGGGTTGAGAAGGCGCTGCACAAGGACATCAAGAATGGCCAGGTGACCATTGTTCCGTTCTACTTCGGCAACGTTTCAGAACAAAGAGTCTTCCTAATGCAGGGCGCCATGGAAAGTCACTGCCTCTACCAAGCGCGGGGAATGGCGAAGTGGATGGCCCACGCAGACATCGATGAGTACTTTGACTTCCTGCGACCTGGTGTCAACCTGAGCAATTATCTCTTCCCTGATACAGACAGCAAGGACGTTGCGCTTGTGGTGAGGAGCAAATTTTGGGGAACCATCCCGGACTCCAGCCCGGTGGCCTCGCGATTCCCGTGCAACATCAATGGCGTATCGATGTACACTCACGATGTCGGGAAGAGAAGCAAAGTCATCATGCGGCCAGAGTACATTGATGGGCTTTTCCCACACTTCGTCGTCAAAAGGTCCGGCTATACAGAGTTGCACCCGGATCCATCTGTTGAGTTGCGTTTGAACCACTTCAAGTCTTGTGACGCTAGAGGTCAAGGATGTTACGGCACGGTTCAGCATACTTGGAAAAGCGAACACAAGAAGCTTCTCGACGACGGGAACGATTGGAAAGATCGGTGCGAAGCTCTACTAGGCGCTACAAAAGTACACTGACGAGCTGACGAGATCGCGTGTATGCTCCATCCACAGGTGTGGAAACATTGCACGCCCACCGGAGCGCCTTGATACATGTGCGCCCGCCTAGGACAGCGCGCCTGCCTTCCGTATGAACGATCCCTCATTCCGCGTGGAGAAGTGAGGTGACTGTATCGTGTGTACGTACCCTGCGAACATATGAGGTGTCAGCGCCCACAGGAGCGCCTTGATAGATTTGTGCCCGATCGGGGGCCCGCGCGTGTGTCCCCGTCAGCGATCTCTCCTTCCGCGTAGAGAAGTGAACTGATTTCGTCGAGTGCATACTCCCTGCAAAAGTATGAAGTGCATTGAGTTCTTCAATAGTCCTGGGGCCCTGAACTACACGTACCCCCTGGATTGCAGGCACCATCCCCCAGATTACAGGTACCAGGTAGTCCCCCCCAGACTACAGGTCCTCCCACAAGTATTGAGGTACTCAGAGTAAATGCGGACCCACAAGAGCGCATTGATTCATATGTGCTGGCCCAGGGGCCCGCGCCTGTCTTCCTGGATGAGCGGTCTCTTACTCCTGGCTCAGGTTACGCCGCGTTCTCCAACGCAGGCGCCGCAGCGCTGATCACAAAATTACCGCTCATTGGTTCCTGCCTGTTGGGCGGACGGCAACGGGTGGTGGATCTAGGGTTGCAGGAAAGTGGCCCTAAAGGGGCCCCAAACGGCTTCTAAACTGCCACCGCAGGCCCCGTAGGTCCGCGGAAGGTGCACGCTTCTTCACCGCACGTTTATTGCCTCCCCCCGTTCATGACCACCCGAACCTGGCCCAGCGTTCCTCCCTGCCCTGCCACTTTTCGTTACCCGCTGCCTCGTCACCCGTGCCAGCGCCCAGTGCGATCCGATCGATTCGATTCGATTATCGATCCCAGTATCTCCGATGCCGATCATCGGCTACCGACTATGGATCGATTACCGATCTCTGATGTGGATCGGTGATCGATCAGTGTCCGATTCCGATACCTTTGGCGGTTCGATGTGACCCGGTGCTTGCATGTCGTTGTTGTGCACCTTGGCGCGACCGATCCTGGCGCGGGCGATGTGCATACTCTTATTTATCCACAGACGCAGAGTGAGCAAAGACTCGAAGATGGAGCGAGAGGGGATCGAAGCGAATATGTTGTGTTCATACTGTAGACCGCAGTTTGCATGGCGGGGCCGCCACAGAGTCACATCCGTGGCTGGGGATCGAAACATCTGGGGAACATCCCCTGCCGCGCGCTTGCCCGCGCCTGCACCACTTATCCACAAAAACAGAGTACGCACATTTTCATAAACCGCACAGAACAGATCCCGGCGCGGCCGATGCGAGTTGATCTCTCGACTCCGTGGCGGTGCAGCCAGCCCGATCCGACGTACGTCCCGATCCGAATCGGTTTCCCGCTTCGGTGATCCGATGCTGACTTCAGGGCGCCAGAGACGGGGGCACAGCAAACGGGGGTACGGGGAACGCCGATTTCCACGTTTGGCTGTGCCCCCGTTTAGGGGGCTCTGAGAGTCGTAGACGGGGGCACAGCAAACGGGGGCACATGGAAAAGCCTAAGCTCCCGTTCAGCTAAACCCCCGCTTGCGAGGCCCCGATGACTGATCTTGACCTCCCTGCCCCCTCGGTTTCCGCTGCACGCCGCCTCGTCACCCGAGCCCCGCCGCCTCGCTGCCCGAGCCCCGTCGCCGCCCCGTCGCCAGAACCCCCCCCCCCCTGCGGGCACTCGCGAGCCCACAGCGGGGCGCAAGAGCCTGCCCTTAGGTGGCCTGGACACGTTAAAGCACTTGGTTCCGCCATGTCAAATACCCTCTTTGGGCGGCCTGGACACGTAAGAACACGTGGTTCCAATTCGGGACAATCATGTTAGATACCCCCCCGGGGGGCCTGGGCACGTGAAAACACGTGGGGCCAGCTCTGGGCAACCATGTTAGATACACCACTGGGTGGCCTGGACACGTTAAGACACGTGGTCCTTGCTCGGGACACCCATGTTAGATATCCTTTTGTGTGGCCTGGACACGTGAAACACTTGGTGCCAGCTCGGGACAACCATGTTAGATACACCCGGGGGTAGCCTGGACACGTTAAACAACGTAGTTTTTGCTTGGGACAATTATGTAAGATACCCCGCTGGGTCGGGAGGACCAAATGAGATGTCCCCCTGGGTGGCCTGGACACGTAAACAACGTGGTTCCAGCTTGGGACAACCATGTTAGATACCCCCCCAACTCGAGGCAACCATGCCAGATATCCCCATTATGTGGCCTGGACATATGAAACACATGTTTCCAGCTCGGGACTACCAGCTCGGGAACACCATGTCAGATACACCCCTGTGGCCTGGACACGTTATAAACACATGGTGCCAGCTCTGGACCACCATGTTCGATTCCCACCATTGTGGCGTGGACACGTGAAAACACGTGGTTCCAGCTCGGGGCCACCGTGTGAAATACCCCACCTGTGTTGCCTGGACACGCAAAAGCACGTGGCTCCAGCTCGGGACCACCATGTTAGATACCCCCCTGGGTGGCCTGGACAATTGAAAACACATGGTTACAGCTCGCACGGGATGCACTTTTTCAACCAACATGTGTCCCGCACCTTGTGATTTACCGATCGGGATTTCAAAAGAAACAAGCGTTTCGCTAGGGGCACCCTTAATGTTTCCACGCCGAATGGGACTGAACCTAGTTTGTTTTGCTTATTTGATTTCGCCGGCCGAAATCGAAAGGAAATCGAAGGAACCCTGGGTCCACGCCCTTTCCGGGAAAAACACGTGGTTAAAGCTCGGGACAACCATGCTAGATATCCCCCTGGGTGGCCTGGACATGGTTCCAGCTCGGGACAACCATGTTAGATACCCCCCTGGGAATTCGCGCTCCCGCTCGAGACATCCTCGCACTGTCTTCCCTGGAGAGGCCCTTCAAGCGCCACCCCTTTCCTTTTTGGGACATGTGTTCGGGTAGTGCTTTTGGGCCCCCAGGCGTTTCCTGCAAATTCGGCGTTGGGCAATCATGTTATATACCCTTTTGGGTGGCCTGGACACGTAGAAACACCTGGATCCAGCTCTGGGCAACCATGTTAGATACACCCCTGGGTGGCCTGGACACGTTAAAACACCTGGTCCTTGCTCGGGACAACCATGTTAGATGCCCCCCTGGGTGGCCTGGACACGGACCACGTTAGATACACCACTGCGTGGGCTGGAAACGTTAAAAACACGTGGTCCTTGCTCGGGACAACCAGGTTAGATACCTGCCTGGGTCGCCTGGACATGAAAAACACGTGGTGCCAGCTCGGGACAACCATGTCAGATACACTCCTGAGTGGCCTGGACACGTTAAAACATGCGGTCCTTGCTCGGGACAATCATGTTAGATACCCCCTCTGGGTGACCTGGGACCTCCTGGGGCTCCCTGCAGAGGGCCGATATATAGGAACACGTGAAAAACAGACGGGTTCGTGCCCCTGATCCGAATGTGTCCCGCACCCTGTGATGTATCGATCGGGAGTTCAAGAACCATCGTCTCGCCGGGGACACCCTCAAATTGTCCACGCCGAATGGGACTTTACCTCACTATCTATCGCAAATAATTTAGCCGACCGAGACCGGGGGGAAACAAAACAATACTAAAAAAGAACCCTGGGCACGCGCCCTATCCGGGAATACCCGTGTTGTGCGTAATCGGAAAAACGGGAATTGCATGCCCACGAGGGAAGCGGAAGGACAGAGAGGAATAAGAGGACCAGGGAAAGGCGGAGGAGGGGAAATGAGGGGAGCGACAATGACGAAGACAATTCGGATTGAGAAACGTAGCCCGCGCTGAAGCGAGACGAGAAGCAGCAGCAGCAGCAGGAACTGGGGTGGAAGGAACGGGACCAACAGGAGGACCAGGGGAGAGCGGACGGGAGCGGAGCGGAGCGGAGCGGAGCGGAGCGGCGCCGATGTCGCCCAGAGAACGTCCCGTGTAAGGAACGGCTGGTGCGCCAGGGCGCCGCAGTTCTGAACTCGGAACTCGGCCGAAGTCGGAAAGTACGGAGTTGGAGTCGGGAACGTGGGAGCTGAAGTCAGAATGACGGGCGCTGGATTATGAAAGTTGGCAGCCAGAGTCGGGAAACTGAGAGACGGAATCGGAGAGACGGGCGTCGGAGTCGGATAATTGGGAGTTGGACTCGGAGAGATGGGAGTTGGGCTCGGATATTTGGTAAATCGCAACAACCACTTGACCAAAGAAAACGAAAACAATTATTGAGCAACGCAATTGCTTGAAACACTTGTCACGCGCACCTATTTGAATTCATCCGTTTTTTTTCATTCGCCTGGCTTAAATTCAGGACTGGACTTCAAGAGGTTTTCTGTTTATTCAAGCTTCCAGGATCTTCCCAGGGGTCCAGGGATGCATGTTGTGCGGGGTTGTTTAAATATCAAGTTTGAACCGATGTTCTCGGGGATCTTCAGTTCAGACACTTCAGCCGCTTGAAATACAAGAGTGTCGTTGTCAATTCTGGTTATCCCGCATGAGGTTCTAGCTGATGGGGTCGGGAGATCGAAACGAATCGCCGACGCATCGCCGACGCACGCGCGATGCATAGGCGATGCACGCGCGAAGTAAAAATGGATGAACTTAGACTGGACGAGTGAAAACCGGACGGAAGAGACGCCGAGAGGCAGCCAAGAGGTTTTTGGTCTTTGTGCTCGCTCTGCTCCCCATCATCCTCCTTCTCTTCCTTTTATGGTTGTTCCTCCTCCTCTTTCTTCCCTTCACAGTCAAGCCATATGGGTGCTATTCTCAATCCTCCACCGAAGTTTTGCGAAAGATCTCCAACCCCGCCAAGTGTGTTGCACACGGAGGATGTCAACAGTCATTGTTGTTTTACGCGTTGATGTGCAATCCGATTGTTCCCGACGTTTCAAAATGGTGCTGCCGCGCGGGCCTCCTTCTCGGATCGGCGCTGTGCTCCCGTCGTTCAAAACCGCGCGTATTGTGGTCCTCCCTATTATTTTCCAATTCCCCATTTCTCATCCTCCGCTCACAATTTTCTGACTCCAGCCCCGAACTTTCCGACCCCGGCGCTCGTCTCCCCGACTCCGGCTTCCAACCGGTTCCAGATCCCATCTCTCCGCTTCCGGTTCCCATCTCTCTGGCTCAGTCTCCTAATTTTTCGACTCCGACACTCAACTTTCCGACCCCCATCTCCCCGAGTTCAGCTCCCAATTTTCCGACTTCGACGCCCGTCTCCCCGACCCCCCGATTCCCAACCGATTCCAGCTCCCATCTCTCCGACCCCAGCTCCCAACTCTCCGACTTAGTCTTCTAATTTTTCGACTCCGATACCGAGCTTTCCGATCCCAGCTCCCACCTCTCCGAGTGCAGCTCCAAATTTTCCGACTCCGACGCCCGTCTCTCTGGCTCCGTCTCTCAGTTTGCCATTTCTGGCTGCCAACTTTCAGAATCCAGCGCCCGTCATTCCGACTCCAGCTCCCGCGTTCCCGACTCCAGCCCCCCTACTTTCCGACTTCGGCCGGATTCCGAATTCAGAATTGAGGCGTTCTGGCGCACACGCCGTTTCCTACACGGGGCGCCGTCTGGGAGAATTTTACTTTGGGCGAATGAAAACGGGATGAATCTAAACCATGCGAATTTAAGCTGGACGAATTTACGAAATAAAGCCGGATGATTTTAAACTGGGCGAGTTCAAACCGGATGAGTTGAACCGGACGGCTTACAAACGGATAGGAATTTAAACCGGACGAATTAGAACCGGATGAATTTCAACCGGACGAAGTAAAACCGGATGAATTTCAATTGGACTAATTTAAAACGGATGAATTCATCGGATGAGTTTAAACCAGATGAATTTAAACAGGACGAGTAACAACCGAACGAGTTTATACATTAGGAAGAATTTGAATTGACCAAATAGACAACGCGAACCACACAGTGGCACACAGAGAAAATTCAAACCGGATGAATTTAAACAGGACAAATTCTAGACGCTCCGCGTATCCCCACCAGCCCATACAGAAACGATGTCCAGGCGAGTTGAGGTGATCAGGGAAGTGCGGCAGCAAAGAGGAGGACGGCCGAACCGTGCAAAGGAGTGAGGAGGAGAAGGAGGAGGAGGATGGATGGATGGATGAGGGAGTGGGAAGAAGGAGGATGAATAGGATGAGGAGGAGGCGGAGGAAGGAGGAGGAGGAGGAGGAGGAGGAGGAGGAGGAAGAGAAGGAGTAGGAGCAGGAAGGAGGAACAGGAGGAGGAGGAGGAGAAGGGCAAGCACAAGGGCCAGAGGTCTCTTGGATGCCTCTCGGAGCCTCTTGGGGTATCTTTTGGGCGATTCTTGGTGGCCTCTTGGGACGTCTTGGGAGTCTCGTGGCGATCCTGGGGGGCTCTTCGGGGTCTTGGGTGCCTCGGGGGGGGCCTCTTGGGGCCGCTTAGGGTCTTCTTGGGGGCCTCCTGGAGGCCTCTTGGGTCGGTCAACGAAGGGGGGTTCCTTAATCGCGCCCCCCCCCCCCCCAGGAGGCCAAAATGGTGCCAAAACCATGTAGAATCAATGATTTTGGCTTCCTCGCCGAGGCCTTTATGGACGCTCTAACTACCCGTGGCCCCCCCCGTCCAGGTCCACGGGGAGGGGGTATGCAGGAGGGATAAGCCCCTCCCCGAAGGGGAAGAGGGAGGGGTGGAAGAGGAACCGCCCTTAACCACCGACGCCCAGAGGGCTGGTGGGATTAAAACCGGATGAGTTTATACCGCGGGAATCAAAACCAGATAATGAATTAAAACCCGGGCGAATTCAAACCGGATGAAATCAAGCGGATGAAATTAAATTGATGATAATCAATTGATGAAATTTATTTCGGATGAAACAAATGTGAATCCCCCAGAGGGCTTTCTGAGGCCTTACTCTTTGTTTTTTTTCCCCACCCATGGTTTTCCACGTTTTTGCTCATCCAGTTTGTTCTGCATCCCCATGCTGCACGGCAGCCCAAGAGGACGCCCAGACCCATGTTGTTCGGGCCCCTGGGGCTCCCAACCGTGATCCAAGACGGCTCCGCATGGGAGGACCAGCGCCCCCAAGTAGGCTCCACGAGCCGCCAGAATCGCTTCCCGGCCTGCGCGACGCCGACGATCACACCAAGACAGCCCCCCGCATGACTTCGTCGAAACGGCATGCTTCCAAGAGGCCTCCCCGGAGGGCTCTCTGAGACCTTACTCTTTGTTTCTCCTTCAGTTTTTTAACGTTTTCACTCATCCTGTTTGTTCTGCATCCCCACGCTGCACGGCAGCCCAAGAGGACGCCCAGACCCATGTTGTTCGGGCCCCTGGGGCTCCCAACCGTGATATCAGACGGCTCCTCCTCCTCCTTCTCCTCCCCTTCTTCCTCCTCCTCCGCCTCCTCCTCCTGCCGGCAGCACAGTACGAGAAATCCAAGGCTCCAGGACGGTCGGCCGTCTGGACCCTCTGGAACGAGATCCGCTGTCAATGGCACTGCTTGCCGTTGCACCCTTTGGCGCCATGATGCCGTGACTGAACCTAAGCGCGCGTAGCGCGCGCGTGCTTCTAGTGTGTGTGTGTCTCGTTGTACATATTCATATATATATATATGTTTGCGTAATCAAATCATCGTACCTGCTACCGATATATCCATTCACGTGTCAGGGCAACCACAGGACAACCACGGGCGAACGGAACCCACGTACACACGCATGGTTTCAGATCGTGGGCGAAAGGCAGTCGTGCGTGGTGTGGGCCCCGATGCCCGAGGCCATGTACAACACGTCATGGTTACAGCTCGCGAGCGAAAGGGACCCATGTGTTTTGTAGGTCCCGAGGCTTGCGGGTGCAAGGAACCCGCGCAAAAACGCAGCTCACGGGCGAAAGGAGGCGGGGGCGACAGGACAATGGGGCAACGGGGGGCGACGGCACGGCCCGGGCACGGGGGGGGGGGGGGCGATTCATGTTGTCTGACTTGGCCCCTGCCTGTGCAGGAAGTCGCGCAGCTTCGCCTAGCCCGCGCGCGCGCCACGCCCGGAACAGAGTGAATTCCAGGTTGGGGCACCTCCCTGTTTCACTTCAGTCTGTCTTTAGTTCTTTGTGTTTGGTTCTCCCTCTCTCTCTCTCTCTCTTTGTTTATCGTGTTTTCTCTCTTTTTTGTTTCTCTCTCTCACGTTCTATATATATATATATATACATATATATATATATATATATTCCTCTTTGACCATGTCTCCCTTTCTCTCTCTATATCGCTGTCCCCCCCCCCTCTCCCCTTCCATTACCTCCCCAAATTCATCCGAGCATCGATCGCGGTGGTCAGGCAGAAGACGTGGCGCTGCTGAGCGAGTGCAGGATGGGCGGCTGCTGCCAGGCGGTGCGGCCCAGGGCCGCCCCCCCCGCGGGAAAGCACGCTCGAGCGAGGGTTCGCGCCGCCCGTTGGCTGGAGACTACGCTGCTGGAGAGTACGCTGCTGGAGATTTTCGGAGGGTCGCGCAGATGTCTTGGATCGGCGCTGAGCCCCCCTTCCCTGGCGCGCGAAGCGCGCTGGGGGTGGTGCTGGAGGCGACGCCATGGACCGGACCATGGGGTCCAGGGCCGGTCCAGGCAGTCCACGTGGGGCTCCGAACGTGTGCGTGCGTGTTCCTGGTGCTGTCCTCTGCTGGGGAGAGGGTGGAAGGGGTGGGGGAGAGAGGGGAGCGGAGGACTGGGCTCGCCCGCTGGCTCGCTCAACGTCGGCGTGGGAATGGCCTCCGCTCCTCCACAGATGCTTTCAGCCGTGCGCACACCGGGAGACACGACTAGGTAGCAAGACCCCCGAGGGGGAAAAATGATGTGAGAGAGAGAGAGAGATCGGTAGAGAGAGAGAAGGAAGGAGGGAGAGAGGGAGAGAGGGAGAGGAGGAGGTCTAGCCATTTTGGCTCAAGCCATTTTGGCTCACGCCACTTTGGCTCAAGGTGCTCAAGAGGAGGGCCCGAAGGATAGGTCAAGGGGTAAGGTTGGACGGGCGCACGGCCGCGGCAGCCATGACGGTTGCGACCATGGAAGCTATCGCCGCGTTGTTGAAAAGCGAGCTCAAGCCCGTCATCAAGAAGGTGGATCGTCTCGAGGAGCATGTGGACGATCATGGCGCCCGATTGGCGAAGGTAGAGGAGAAGTTGATGCAGGGAGGTGGGGACACGTCGACTCTCGCTTCATCTTCTCTAGGCACCTCTAGTTCCAAGTACGCCCCTCGTACCTTGAGATTAAGAATGTTTGTGAGTACGGAGACAGTCGTTTTACAGGGATCGACAGAGCATCAGCCGAGAAGTTGTTGGCTCAGCTCACAGAGAAGTTGCCCACCACGCTCCAGCAAAGCATCGGTTCACTGGAAGTGTTCGGTCGTCAAGCGCACAAGATCCTCGTGCACATCAAACCTCCAGTAGCAGTAGAAATTACTTTTATATTTAAGGAGCTGCTGGCGTCAGACACCGACCCCCAGTTCAACAAGCGTGTGCAATACACGACGCGTTAGCGTGAACCGGCCGAGGAACAGATGTACGCGACGGGAGGCAGAGTCAGGGCTTTCCTGCTGTTCAAGGTGAGTGCGCATGCAGATGGCTATGCGTCGTGCTCGCCGGCCCCCCTTGTGGCAGCTCAAGGCTGGCGGTAACCAGGGCGAAGTGCACGCGGCGACCATAATGCCAGATGCGTCCGTCTAATGGGAGGCAGCTGGGGTCTCGACGGCCCTCGGGTCGACCGTCGAGGAAATCCAGCGCGAGTTGGCAGCCTTCCAAGAGAAGTGAGACCAGGTCCCAGCTGGCTCGTATGTGCAATAATTCAGCGAAACCAGCTGGAACACGCACCGGACGAACCTCAAATCAGCGAGGAAGTTGTGCAGGCAGCTTCGACAAATTCATGGGGAATTCTTGGCGATGTTGCAGGAGATCTCCACATGGGGCTCCATCAATGGGTACACATAGAGTGCGCACGCGGTAGTAACAGGCGAGGGGTGCATTCCTAGACGTTGGAAGGCGGTTGTAAGAAAAACATCGTTGGGGGATTATTGGTGTGCCATTGTTGCGGATAGCTATCTATTTTTGTCTGCTCATGTCCTCGATCATGTACAAGAGGGAGGGCGTGCAGAAGCAGTAATTCATGAGTCGATTTGTTTTGTGCAGATTGTGAGTGCTGAGTATGCCGACGTCGATTTCGAGATTGTTCTCGGCGTGGATGCGAATGCGTGCTTGCCCGCTGGGATCCCGGGAGTATCGGGCGATGCTGTGCTTCCTCCTCGTGCAGGACACATTCCTGCAGCCGTTCGCGTCGTTCAGGCTTGGGTGGAAACTCTGGGAGTCCGGGCCCTGAACACGTTTGGGGTCACATAGGGCAAGTGCAGCTCACCAGGGCCACCCTGGACACGCAGGCCTAGGAGGCACGTGGCACGGACGTCCCAGATGGATTTTGTCGTGGCGTCAGCAGGTATCCCTGGGCAGGGCATTGCGCAGTCTGACGACCACAAGCTGTTTCATCTTTCTGACCACCGTCCTGTTGTCGCATCCCTTGCTCCACAATCCGCCATCACTGTGAAGTTCGCTAAGTCTCAGTCGATGGTTGGTCGGAGGCCCTTGTCCGCAGCGGAGTCCGAGACTTTCAAGGCCGCTTGTTTGGAGTTCCGTCACTCCGACTCGGAGTGCATGCAAACACGTGTCAAGTACGCAGTCTGCAATGTGAAGTTTGACACATCGATGGCTAGGAGGAGGAAAGAGCGTGACTTCGTGAACGGACCCGCGAAGGAAGCCAGAAGGGCTCTTGTTCATTCCAGCCCAGGTGACAAGCGGCATGCGGTACAATCTCTGAGACGCGCTAAGCGTCAAGCACGTGTGAGCAAACACAAAAGCCACCTTCGCAAAGTTTGTGTTTCTGCTTCGTCGTCGTCGCGCCCGATGCCGCAGACTCTTGTTGCGAATGGGGAGTGTACGGCCGATCCGAGCAAATGGATTACGGAAGCCTGGCGTTTTGGGCGGGCACGATTCGGAGATCCAGACAATGCGTTCCCCGACCATAACATACGTCTCGAAAGGCTGGCCTCTCGTGCCCAGGAGCTCCGCATCGACGAATTCGGCCCGCGTGAACTCTTACCACTTTCTTGTGCTTCGGCACGGGCTAAACTGAAACAAATCATGGCTGCAGGTTCTGACGGCGTGCCCCCAGAGGTCTACAAGGAGCTCCCGTACGCCATGGTGGTCAGTTTCTGGGAGAGGTTCCAGGACAGATATTATCGCCATCATTCTTCAACGCCTCCGAGCAGGAAGATGCTTGAGTTCTGCGGCATTCCGAAGGAGAGCCGGATTGTCAACCTCAAGCCTTTCCGTTTCAAATGGTACGTCCGCGCACTTCAACTTTCATTGCGATCATATCTCAGGCCAGGGCGGGTTGAACCCCCTGGGTTTCGATTCGGCTTCAGGTGCGAGGACATTGCCGCGATTGCTCGCGAGACACTCTTCAAAGCTTATCGTTGGAACATGCCTTTGGTGCTGGGAGCCAGTGACATAGAGGTGGCCTTCGACAGCATGGAACAAAGGCGATGCAAATTGCCCTGCTGGACCAAGGTCTCCACCCTGATCTCGCCCGCGCTGTGTTCGGGGAGGCCTCTGGCATACAGTGCGCCGCGGAACTAGATGGGGCCGGCCGTTCAGATCTGCTTCAACCTCGAGCGGGGGGGGAAACAAGGGGGAGTCGAGACCCCTGACGTTTTCAATGGCAGGGTTCGGTCGTTGATGGCGCCTGTCGTGGACTGCTGGGCGCAGAGAGGCTTTGGGTTCGATTTTCCAGACCTTGGCGTGGAATCCGTTGTGTTCGCGCACCTCGTTTGGGCGGATAAGATTGTAGTGGCATCCGGCCAGTGTCGTCGATCCGGGGGCGCTCCGACTGATGTGATCCTCCTTCGCCCTCGTCTTTCCTTTCTTTTTCCTTCCCTCCCCTTCTCACTCTGCATTCATTTAGTACGCCTACGGCGAATCACCGCCGCCCCCTGCCTTTCGGAAGCGCCTATGTGGCCGAACGTTGAGGCCAGACCTGCCAAGCCATCGGACCATGTGTTCCCCGAATCGGTTTGGAAAGCCTTCGGGGAACACGTGGGCATCTTGAAGGTCATCTTGGCCGTCTTGGAGGCCTCTTGGGCGATCTTTCGGCGATCTTTGGGGGCTCTTGGGCCGTCTCGGGCCGCCTCGGGGCCGTCTTGGAGGCCATCTTGGGCGTCTTGGATGCCTCTTGGGCCGTGTTCGGGCCCTCTTGCGGCCGTCTTGGGGCCGTCTTGGGCCGTCTTGGGGCGCTCCTGGAGGCCTCTTGGGCCGTCTTCGGGCGCTCTTGGAGGCCTCCTGGGCTGCCTTGGAGCGTCGGGAAGCCGAAAAGGCAAAAAACCAGAATCCTTCCAACACTATCGTAAAGTAGACGATTTTGGCCTCTTCGAGCCCTCCTGGAGAACCTCTTGGAGGCCTCCTGGGCCGTCTTGGAGGCTTCTTGGGCGAACTTGGAGGTATCTTGGACCCTCTTGGGCCGTCTCGGAGGCCGTCTTAGATCATCTTGGGTGGACTTGGAGGCCATCTTGGAGGCCATCTTGGAGGCCATCTTGGGCCAACGTGACCATCCTGGAGGCCATGTTGGGCCGTCTTGGAGGAAGAATTGGGATTGGGCGATGGCGCGTGCGTCTTGCGGGTCTTTGGGGGCGGCCGGCGGGGCGGGCCGACGCGCCAGGGGGAGTTCTTTTGGAAAAACAACCAAAACCAAAACCGAAACGGTCCAGCACGCCAGGCACCCCTGCGATGAATCGACAGGGGGCGGCGGATCGAAGACGCCTACGGGGAATCACCGCCGCCCCCTGCCTTTGTGGAAGCGCCTATGTGGCCGAACGTTGAGGCCAGACCTGCCAAGCCATCGGACCATGTGTTCCCCGAATCGGTTTGGAAAGCCTTCGGGGAACACGTGGGCGTCTTGAATGTCATCGTGGCCGTCTTGGACGCCTCTTGGGCGATCTTCCGGCGATCTTTGGGGGCTCTTGGGCCGTCTCGGGCCCTCGGAAGGCCGAAAAGAAGGAAACGTCAAAATCCGTCAAAGAACAACGGAAAATCAATGTTTTTGGCCTCTTCTGGCTTTCCTGGAGGCCCTCTTTGCAATTCCGAGTGCGAGCAAGCCTGAGCATGAGTGAGTGAGTCCAGCAGGGTGGCAGATGTTTCATGTTCCATGATATTGCATAGCTTCAGTTTGTGAATGAAGCTGTGTTTTCCATATGTATTTTGCCTGCTACCGTCTTGGCTCAAGCGCCCCCTCGCTTGTGCTCAGAGGCACGGGAGTTTAGAAGCCCTGTGAGCAGGCCTCTCGAGCTTTAGGAGTTCA